CACATGGCGTGGGTTTGGACTGCTTGCCTGTCACATCAGGGTTACAGAGAGCAGTTTCAACAGAAAGCCGAGGTATAGTTGAGGTATGCAGTTTTATGGGGCATTTACCATGTCACAATGTTACTTACTCTGTAAAGCCTATTCTTAATGTTTTTGTCACAGAAATGTTATGGAAAGGAGGCTCAAAATATTGGTTAACCTGTTAGTCAAAAAAAAAAAAAAATTGACACCTAAAATTTGTAAAGGCATGAGATATCATTATCATTCTCGCCACAAACCATCTCAGACCCTGTCTGGGCCTTCAGTGAGAGAGTGCGTATTCTACAAAAGATTTAAATGAGAGTACTCTAGATAGAGACACTGACAATAAATTTGAAATATTCCCACACCTTTCATAAGTAAGTAGATAACTATAACTTGTCAGATACTTCAAAAATGGGTACTAGTTTCTGAAAAGAAATCAGTTGCGAAATCAGAGTTGCAGTTATATGACTACATTCTTTTCCTAGTTTCTAATTCTAGACACGAATGAGTCAATGAAACTAAGATTGAAAACTAGCTCTAACCTGTTTTTATTCTTGTTTTCACGTAAATTTTCTGAAATCTTTGTGTCCGTGTGAATAAAGAAATGTTAACCATGATAGTGTAATATTTTTAATCTTTTGCCAGTGGAATACATTCATATGCCATCACAACAACACTGCTTTCTTCAAGTGTGTATTAAAGATTCTGTGCTGAATTAATAGTAAAGGACATACGTTAAAATTATTTTATGCAAGTGGAGAATGGAGAGTTCATTTTAGTGAACTATTCATTAAAGTGAAAAACTGATTAGACTTTTATAAAGGGCAGAGTTTTGATAAGAATGGGAAAGTAATACACTCATTGCAAAATATGAGTTGAACTGTTTAACCTCTGTACTAATAAGGGAAAACCTCACACGTTTGAAATGACATTGTGCAACAGACCAATATTAATTGTGCTTTTATGAGATTAAACAGCATAACACAGATATGTTCTCCTTTA